TTATATTTAGAGATGTCTGACATGCACCAACAAAATCAAAACAAATTCCATGTATGTGTAAACTTACAGGGCAATAAAAGCTTTTCTGATTCTGATCTTCACATAGAAATTTAAATGATGCAAAGCCATCATCGATGAAGAGATCTTGAAAGTAGACCAAGCCACTTCTGTACCAAACTTCAAATGCCTGATCTATTTGAGATGGTGCAAAAAGATAATTAAACATTATTGGAGAGAAGCTACATATATTTGTCAAATTAAAATGTTTTCTGAACTGATGCCAGATCTTAATCGAATTTTGGACCACCAAATTTGAGTTCAGTTCAGGCACTTTGATATTTAGTGGGAGAGGGGCAGTTAAGATTGAAATCGTAAATTTCGTAAGTGATCTGTTTTGCCAGATTATTAAATGGAAATAATAAAGATTTTGACAAATTAACTTTATAACCTGATATGCTCCAAATTTTTTGCAGCCAGTGGAGAAGGTAGGGCATGTTCTCAGTTGGGTCTGATATTTGCAAAAGCAGATCATCAGCATAAAGCAAAGTTTTATGGTTTGTATCACCCCTGGATATACTCTTTATCCTGTCATCTGATCTAATAGCAATCGCGAGTGGTTCGATCGCAATGTCAAACAGGAAGGGCGATAGACAGCAACCTTGTCTTGTACCTCTGTGAAGTGAAAAATATTCCGAGATCAGGCCATTTGTCCTGACTGCAGCCATAGGTGTTGAATATAGGACTTTGATCCACTTAAAAAAAGTGGGTCCCATTCCAAATTTTTCTAAAGCTGCGAAGAGAGAGGTCCATTCGATTCTATCAAACGCCTTTTCAGCGTCAAGACTTAGAATAACTTCAGGTTGTACTGTTGAATGGAAAATAACATGTTAAATACTCTTCTCACATTAAAAATGATTGCTGTCCAGGAATGAAGCCTGTTTGGTCCTCAGTAATAATGGTAGGAATAACAGGGTCTAATCGTTGTGCAAGGGTTTTAGTTAAAATTTTATAGTCACAGCACAGAAGACTTATTGGCCTATATGAGCTACACTGTACAGGATCCTTATCTTTTTTTTAGTAAAACTGAAATTGTGGCCTGGGTAAGCGTTTGCGGCAATTTTCCATTGGCCAAAGATTCATCATTTAGTGATTTAAGGATAGGTGCGAGTTTTGATGAGAATTCCTTGTAAAACTCTATGGGGAATCCATCCGGACCTGGCGCCCTTCCTGTTTGACCTGATGGCACTTGCTATTACCTCAAGCGACAATGGCTGCTCTAGAGATGACTGAGCATCTGGAGAAAGCCTTGGGATATCCAGCGAATCAAGAAACGAGTAAATCTCAGACGAACTACTATCTACCTCTGGTTGATATAGAATAGAATAATATTGTTTAAACTGGTCATTAATGACTCTGGGGCTGCGAGATATCGAGTCAGCACCTGTATCAATTCCTGGGATCATTTGTTCAGCTGACTGCTGTTTAAGTTGAAGTGCAAGGAGTCTCACTGTTTTATCTCCATGTTCATTATATACCTTTCTGGATTTAAAAATATTTTTTTAGGCTTTCCATGTCATAAGTGTATTATATTCAGTTTGCAACAGTAATTTCTCCTTAAAAAGATCTGGTTTAGGCGAAAGAGCATAGCGCCTGTCAATATCTGCAATTTTGTCAGCAAGCTCTTTAATTTGTTTGGAACGCTCCTTATTCCTATGTGCCATACAAGAGATAATTTGGCCCCTAATGTAGGCTCTCATAGACTCCCATAAAACTCCCATCCTGGGTGTCATTAATTTCCAAAAAGAAGTCAATCTGATTGTCGAGAAATGTTCTAAAATGTTTACATAGAAGTAGCTGGGGGTCTAGCCGCCAAGTTCGTTGAGGCGCTACATTGGCTGGAAAAACTAGATCCATCTGCACTGAGCTGTGATCTGATAGCACTATACTGTGGTATTTGCTGCTGGAAATTAAGGGGAGTAGCTGGTTATCGACAATAAAATAATCAATCCTGGAATAACTATGATGAACGGGGGAAAAGAAGGAGAATTGCTTCGTAGTTGGATTTTTTTGTCCGCCAGGGGTCTGATAAGCCATAAGAGCGGAGGAGGGAATTAATAACCACTGCGGCTGATGAGAGAGTATTATTTGCCCTTACACTTGACCTGTCTAGCTGGAGGGGATGTAGATGCAGTTGAAGTCTCCACCTAGAATTAATTTGTAAGAATTAAGGTCCGGAAGAGTTGAAAAAAAATTAAGAAAGAATTGTGCATTGTCCCAGTTTGGTCCATAAATGTTGGCCAATATTACTGGTGTATTAAATAGCTTGCCCACTACAACAATATATCTTCCATTAGCATCTGATATTACTTCAGAGTGTTCAAATGGGATCCCCTTCCTAATTAGGATTGCTGTTCCTCTGGCTTTGTAATTAAAACGTGAATGATATTTTTGTCCAATCCACTTACAACTTAGTCTTTTTTGGGAGTTAATATTTAAATGTGTCTCCTGTAGCAATATCACATCAGGTTTTAATGATTTCAAATGACTAAATATTTTGCTCCGTTTAACCAGGTTATTCAGGCCCCTGACGTTCCAGCTAATGAACGAAATTGTTCCTTGTTGATTATTTACATTATTCAGAATCATAATGCAACAGTTTGTAATGAGCCGGTCCTGCATGTTGGCTATATCTGAGTACTTCGTTGCATGTTTGAGTCAAACCATAAAAGACAAATGAACCCAAAAGAAGACTGATAAAAATAAACAAAGAGACATAGATAAACCCCTTACCATCCTGGACTCCTGGGCTGGTCTTCCTTAAACCTGAGACTGCCCTGAAAACTCTCCTCTCTCTCTCCGAGGCATATAACACGTCTACACTAACTTAAACTCTTACATGAACTCTGCAAAGGCAGAACAAAATATAATAGGGCTTTCCTCTCAATACTATTATTGCTGCATGTGTGCTGGCACTTATTTGCTCACAGGCTGATAAGGTTCTTAACACTTACAGTTGGAAGATAACCCCACCAAAAAAAAGAGTAAAATCAACTAGAATCAGTGCTACTGGTGGCGATAAGGGGGTAAATTAAACAAACAACATTAAAAAATAAAGAAAAAGTACTGTTAGGGTTATAGTGTCAAATTTAGACTTGACATTAGACACTTACACTAACGTGGCAGAGAAAAAGGAAAACAAAGAAGATCAACATTTTTAAATAAGATATTCTCCAGGCCACATGATGTCTACATAAACCCTTAACATATTGTAGGTCCTCAATCCAGAGTTTTTTGTTTTTCCCCCTCATTTATATTCCTCAGATGACTGAAAATATCACTTTGTCCATAATCCAAACATAAAATGCATCCAACTGCAGTGTGATGACGTCCATCAGTCAAGAAAGTCAGCATGTGCAGACTACTGCAATGTTAACACGCAGCGTATATGATAACTGTTATGGCCCCGTGAGTTAACTGTCACTCTCCCTCCGTCTCCCGTGGATGCAGATTGGTCTCGATGTAATACTTTGCCTTGATCGGGTCATCGAAAGATACCTGCTTGCCAGATGGGGTTGTAATCTTCAGTGTGGCTGGATACAGGAGACCGTATTTCACGCCCGTACATTGGCGAAGCAATCCTCTCACCTCGGTGAAGGCAGCTCTCTTTTTTCTGACGGCGGCCGAGTAATCTGGGTAGATGTAGAAACGCTTGCCTTTGTGGGTGATGGGACCTGCACCCATGGCCTTTCGAAGAACATCCATTTTCTCCTGAAAGTAGTGGAACTTGACGATTATTGGCCTCGGGTCATCCCCATCCTTTGGCCTCGGCTGCAGGCTTCTATGCGCCCGATCAAGCATCGGCGTATAGTCGAGGGCCAGCGCTTCCTTCAACAATTCGGCCATGGCTCTCTCCGGTCGTATATTTCCAAGTCCCTCTTCGACTCCAACTAGTCTGCAGTTATCTCGCCGCTGCCGGGACTCCAAATCTTCGGTCTTATCTGCTAACCGGGTGACTTGTGTAGACAGCGTATTAACTTTAGCTTCAAGTGCTACAACCCGGTTAGCATGACCATTAGCTTCCTCCTCGAGATCGTCAATGCGGGTTGAGAATGTAGCGTTTTCTTCTGCACTTCTTCAATTACCTTCGTAAACGCACATTCAGGATTTCTGTCCTTAGGTCACTCGCCAAGCTGTCTATTTTCTTGTGCAGCTCACCTGCAGCCGCAATCACAGTTGAGTCGATCTTGGTTAGCATACTCTGCTCCGTTTGCTTTATTGCAGCCATGATTGTGTCGAGATCCGACCCTGAACTCGCTTCCGCAGTTGGATCCACATCAGGCAAGTCTAAGGCGTCCGGCCCTGGCTTCGGCTTTTGAGATTAAGGCATTTTGAGCAGCTTAGAATTTAAAAAACGGACTAATTCGAGGGACTTGACACTTTAGAGACACGTTCACACCGGGAAGAACGAGAAGGAGAGGAAGAAAATTAAATAAATGTTCAATCTAAGCAGAGCCCACAAAAACACATCAGCTCAGCTGCGCCCCCCCAAATCAAGTCTAGTCTTGGTTTTGAATGTTTATATTTGCTATTGCTGCAATTAATTAACCTCATTGGATAAATTCATAATTTTGCATATTTGCATATTGCTATTAAATATGCAAATTCTGTTACATTTGTAAGTTATCCAGGACCACCAACATCAAGATTTGTGAAGCCACGTATCTTAAAAAGATTCAAAGGAGGTTACGTTTGTTTTGTGGAAAAGGCCTCTGCTCACTGTTTGGCTGAAATTGTAATTTCAAAATGTCTCCCTACCAGGCGGCCTCTTCCCTGGGCAGTAAGTGCCCATCCTAAACGGAAAGTAGAAGATGTTAGACCCATCTTCTGGGCCTCCAGACCCAAGAGCTACATCTACAGAACCCAGGACTGGGATGAGTTCCCAAACGGCAGATGGCAAGTTGAATACCCATTAACTCAATCAACCAATGACTAAACAATGGCATCTTCCTTACATGTGCATTTAAATTATTTTATAAATGTAGAATTACTTACAATTTGACACTTTTGATTTTGAATAATAGAGTTATGTGAATTGGTGTTCAAGCACTTTTGTAAAGCCTAATAACAATGTTGATGTCTTCAGGGGAAACTCCTCATCTCCAGCTTTTGGTGAGTTAAATGACTACTACCTGTTCTACTTGAAGAGCAAGTCATCTAAAGATGAGCTGCTGCACATGTGGGGTGAGGAGCTGATGAATGAAGAGAGCGTCTATGAGGTCTTCACCTGCTACATCACAGCCCAGCCAAACCGCAGTGGACATAAGGTAGAAGGGATGGAAGGGTGAATACTTTTTCTACAATGTTGATGGAAAACTTCCTACGATGAGACTAGGTAGTGTGTGTTTCTGTTCACTGTGTATAAACTCCACACACACACAAATTCTTGCTTGCTCCTGGTAATTCACGTGATGGTGTTTACGATGATTATAAAAAAAACGTGGGGCATATTTGGAAGGCACTGGTCTGCCTAGTTATAAAATTTGGTTGCCCTGTCCCTCTTCTCTACTAACTCAACAACTTGGCTTGACTAGACACAAATAGATGATTATAATTAATTGGTTGAGGTATTTCCTTACAATTTAAACAATAACAAAATAAGACAAAATGCCGCAGCATGAGTGCTGACAGGAACTAGAAGGAGAGATCATATTACTCCTGTCTTAGCTTCTCTACATTGGCTCCCTGTACAATTCAGAATATAATTCAAAATCCTGCTCCTCACATTTAAAGCCCTTAACAATCAAGCCCCTTCATATATCAAAGAGCTGATAACACCATATTATCCAAATAGATCACTTCGTTCACAAAACACAGGCTCTCTTGTGGTTCCAAGAGTCTGTAAGAGTAGAACAGGAGGTAGAGCATTCAGCTACCAGGCTCCTCTCCTGTGGAACCAGCTCCCACTCTGGGTTCAGGAGGCAGACACCATCTCTGCATTTAAAGTTAAACTTAAAACGTTCCTCTTTGATAAAGCCTATAGTTAGTTCTGGATCAGGTGAGTCCTGAACCATCACTTAGTTATGCTGCTATAGGTCTAGACTGCTGGGGGAACTCCCATCATGCCTCTCTCTCTTTCTCTCTCTCATTGCAGATATCTCTGACACCAGAACTGCAGGATGATTATTATTATTACTATTATTAACAACAACACTTATTAGTAATTAATTATTAAATGAATTGTTGCTGCTATCATTAWTAATCAATAACTTCTTTACACTGATATTGTTTACATTTTAACTAGTCAGATCTGATACCTGATGGTGCTCAAGTGTTCCCGCTCTCTCTCCCCCTCCTCCCTCTCCTCCCCCTCCCCTCTTTTCCACCCATTTCTCCTCTCCTCCCCTTTTTTCTCTGCTCACCCCAACCGGTCGAGGCAGATGACCGCCCACATTGAGTCTGGTTCTAGAGGTTTTTCTCTGTTAATGAGGGAGTTTTTCCTCCATAGTCTCAAAGTGCTGGAACTGGAACTGTTGGGTTTCTCTATAATAAAAAAGTTTTAAGGTCTTGACCTTCTATGTAAATTGCCTTGAGATAATGTATATTATGATTTGGCACTATAAAAATAAAAGTGAATTGAATTGATTTATAAGCAAACGGTATTTTGTTCAACAATTTGTGTAAGTTTTTTTTTTTTTAATCTTAATTGACTTTTAACAATCCAGTTACAACCATGTACAGCACTTTTAACTGCTCTACAAATATTATTATTATAATTTGTATTATTATTATTATTACAGGTGATGTGTTTGCCATGGAATGATGAGCCTCTGGCCCCAGAGACCAACCTTTTGAAGGATGAGCTGGAGAAAGTGAACAGAAGAGGAGTCCTAACAATCAACTCCCAACCCAACATCAACGGCAAACCCTCCACAGACCCTATAGTGGGCTGGGGACCTGCAGGAGGCTACGTCTTTCAGAAGGTAGGAAGAAGTTTCATCTCGTATATGCATTTGGCAGAAGTGAGTAGCGTTTGTTTGTCTCATGTTAAGTACATGTTGAAGTATACCAGTTTTATGTAAATCGATGGAATGTAAAAGTAATATTTATCGTAATGTGAATTTTGATTAGATTAAATTAATTTGGCTAACCCAAAAACAAATGTTTTTTTTCTTGAACAGAGGCCACATTAAACAATCAATTAAGGACATTAAGGCCTGTCAGTCCGTCCGTACATCTGTCAAACTGTTGCATATCTCTAGAAATGTTCATCTTTTGGGCTTTGCACTTGGCAGATGTATTGTTAGGCATCCTTGGATAACCTAAGGCAATGATGGGAAACAACCATTCAATAGTAATCTGGGTAAAAGTTTGAAATAATTCTGATTTTGATTTGAACCCATATTGCTAGTACTTTCACTTAATAAATGTGCATACTTCCTTGATTTGGAATGGATATTACCAATTTAGAAATACTGTGAAATTGATATTTTTGGAGACTGCTGAGACCATTGCAACCCTAATCTTGATATGTTGCCTCAATCCTCTTGGTATAAATCACAGGCTTATCTGGAGTTCTTCACCTCCAGTGAAAATGTGACTGCTCTCCTCAAAGTACTGAAGAAGTATGAGCCCCGTGTCAACTACCACATTGTTAATGTTCACGTAAGTTTGAACAAAAAGCACATTCCATGTTTATGTACGAGTTTACGTTATTAATATGTCGTATTGAAAAATTTGTGTGCAGGGGCGTAACCTGACGAATGCCCCTGACTTGCAACCTAACGCTGTGACCTGGGGGATCTTCCCTGGCAGGGAGATTGTCCAACCTACTGTGGTGGACCCAGTCAGCTTTATGTCTTGGAAGGTAAGATCAAGATTGTCCAGCTATTGTGTGGGAATTATACACCATTTTTATTGGCAGGTTATATGTTGAAAGCAAAGTGAAGTTGGTAAATTATCAAGTTAATGAATGCAACAATATGTTATAAGATTGAATTAACATTAGAATATCCACAATGTGTGAAATATTGCTTTAATATCTAATATGTCCTTTGATAGTTTCCAATTGACACCTCCACCCAAAACCCTTGGTTAGACTGAATGCTAGTCAATGATCTCTGTGACCGGTGTAGTTCACCAAACCTGTTCTCATGTTTTCCTTAGGACGAGGCTTTTGCCCTGTGGATTGAGCAGTGGGCCAAACTCTATGAAGAAGAGTCTCCTTCACGGATGATCATCAAGTATATTCACAACAACTACTTCCTGGTTACTCTTGTGGACAATGATTTTCCTTTAGAGAACTGTCTGTGGCAGGTCATTGAAGATATGTTCGAAATGCTTGATGCTCCTCCAGATCCACTCAACGACGGAACATTCTGAAAAATAATATTTTAAACTACCTTTAGGGGAAGTAAGAACACTATGGAACTGTCAATTCTTTATGTATTGTCTGAGAGTTGCTATTTACAATGTAGAGCATAGAGTTAGTGTACTTAACAGTATTTTTAAAGGCTTTTTCTAAATGTTTTTTAACCTATGAGTGAATGGAAATATGATGATAAATTAAATTCTTCATTCTATCCTAAGTAGATCAGTAGCTTTTTGTTCTGCAGTTTTTCCACAGCCAATAAACTACATTCTCAGTCACCTTTTTAAAAGACTGGAAACCAGGGACAGAAACAGGTGTTGGCCAGACTGCTGACCAGAGACCAGCAATGGCTTTCAACCAGACTGTCACTGTGGAACTGGGGACAGGAACAATTGTCAGCTGGACTGCTGACTGGGGATGAGATCTCCTTATGGATAGATTTCACTGAAAAACAAGGAATGAGAAACAAAACTATTTCAAAATGATTTTTGAAAATGCTCTATTTTTTTAGTTAATATTTTATCTTCGTATAAAAATAATATGACACTTTTGTCACCTTTTGATTTATCTGCTGTTATTGGTCAAAACCTGGTATCGAGATGTTTGTAAGCCTCATATTGGTTTACTCTACAGTTTGACAATCATACAGATGTAGGAGCTGCTGATGACAGTGTCTGCTGTCTTAATATAGATGTATATAGAACATGGAAGTGTGGAGATTTTCCACACATTAAGTAACTCAGCAGCAAATGCAAATTTATAATTCATCAACATCAGGGAAATGGAAATGCCAAATATAACTACACAATCCACCTAGTTTAGAAAAAATATTTGCTGAAAACTGGCTGCCTTTGAGAAAAGTTTGTTATTAGTGAAAGATTTGGCACCAACATGATGTGATGTGACAACGGCCCCTTGTCTCCAGTTGGCAGTCTGTCCTGGTTCCCTATTGACGCTCTGGTCGGTCTGACCTATCCCTGGTTTCCCAGCAGCCTTCTGGCAACTGTTGATGTCCCTCATGTCCTGTCGCAGTCCCGCCAAATACACTGCTAAAAATAAATAATGGGAACATTTAATCGTCGCAGTATAAGTCTACACCAATCGAGTTGGGTTGTGAGCTTGGGTCACACTAGACTAGAGAACATAGTTCAGTGCCCAATATAGGTCTTGCTTAAAGATTAACTGCACATTTTAGAGTGGCCTTTTTTGTGACCAGTCCAAGGCACATCTGTGCAATAATGTGAAAGATATGGTTTTCATTCAAATAAGTCTGAGTAAAATAGTGGAAAAACAGTGCTTTTACTTTAGTTCTGGATCAGGTGCGTCTGGAACCATCCCTTAGTTATGCTGCTATAGGTCTAGACTGCTGGGGGAATTTCCATCATGCACTGAGCACTTTTCCCCGTCCCTATTTTAATACATGTCAAAAACTATGTTTATTTTTTCTCCCATAGTCCCTCTTTCTCTTTCTGTTGCAGGACAACAACTATTATTCCTATTATTAAGAACAATATCTCAGTAATTAAATATTATATGAATTGTGCCTGTTATCAATAATAATCAATAACTTCTTTACACTGTTATTGTTTACATTTTAACTAGTCAGATCTGATACCTGATGGTGCTCAAGTGTTCCAGGCCTCGCTCACCTCTCTCTCCCCCTCCTCCCCTTCCCCACTATCTCCCTCTCTCTCTTCTTTCCCCTCTTTTCCACCCATCTCTCCTCTCCTCCCCTTTATCTTTGCTCACCCAAACCGGTCGAGGCAGATGACCGCCCACATTGAGTCTGGTTCTTCTAGAGATTTCTCTCTGTTAATGAGGGAGTTTTTCCTCCACATTTGCCAAAGTGCTGCTCATTGTGGGAACTGTTGGGTTTCTCTATATTTAATATGATTTTAAGGTCTTGACCTTCTATGTAAAGTGCCTTGAGATAATGTATATTATGACAAAGGAAATAATAAATATAACAAAACTAGGCCTGACTATTTGCTACTGCTTAAACACACATCCCAAACAAAAGGCCTAATCTGATAATCTAAAAAATATCTTAATTGAAATATTACAAAGGTGGCAACAACCAAACTGACTTGTGTCTAAACTAAAAGGAGTACCTACGTGAGTGAATGTATAGGGTACCCATCTTACCTAGTCCTTCCTTCCCACCACAGCTACCATGGTATTTTAGCAAGTTTGTTATCATACCAACACAACAGAAAATCATGGGTGCTGCACACAGGCTGAGGCCAGAGAGAACAAAAAGGAGCAAGACTCTCAGGTGTGCTCCTTTTGTAGACCCCCCCCCACTGCCGGTTGGACACGCTCTAATTCAGTGGTGTCAAGGTCAATCACAGAGAGGGCCAAAATTAAAAACGGACTACGTCGAAGGTCAAACAGGGTCAACATTTATTAAACAGGATAGACAGGATATATGATAAAGTAAACATATTTAGGTAGGCTACATTCTTCTTTTATTTACATGTGCCAGAGCCAGATGCTAGGCATCTTTTCTTGGCTGCCATTCCAGTAATGTTTGGAATTCTGTGCTGTAGAAACCCTCAAGATGGAGTGAAGGTGTGCATCAGTGAGACAAGTCCTGTGTGGGTTTTTGTTCATCTTCATCACAGAGAAAAGCATGTGGGTGAACTTGACAGGGCACAGACAGCAGCACACAGGCACTGGGATCTCTGGAACACTGGAAAAATAATTTAATATCATCAAATACTCTCCGAGTGAGTGGAGAGGAGCATTTGCTCCATGCATCTAAGCGAGTCCTGTGCACCGTGGCTCGGCCTATGGAGCTTTTTTTCACACAAAAAAGTGTGCGTCCTATTTAGCTCCTGAGGAAGATGTTGCTGGTGCTGGAATGGCCTGAGTGCAGTCCCGACTTGTCTCCGATAAAGAATGGACAACGGAGACCCCTTACTGTTGCACACCTTGGGACAGAATGGGACAAAATGACACCATCACTTGGTGTCTTGAGTCCCTAAATGTCGTGGGAAAAGGAATGTCAACATTACAAAGTGGTCAATGCTCTACTGTCCCAACTTTTTTTTTTAAATATGTTGCAGGAAAAAATTGAAACAAGTGTTTTTTCTGAAAAAAACCCCAAACTATACAATTCATGATGTCAAACATCAAATAATGTGCTTCTGTATTGTTTTACTGAAATACAAGTCAAAGATCAGTTATAAATCACTGTTCTCAGTTTTAATTTAAATGTAACGTACCATCCAAACTTATTCTGATTTGGGGTTGTACTAGGAGGCCCAGCAAAATAGTCAGCAGAAAGTACCTTTAGTAAGCAGGCTTTGGTGCTGTGTAAATTAATACAGCTATATTAACCAGAAAACCATGCAGGAGAATGTGTCAGATACTGATGTCTGTAACTCTGATATGGAGGGCTGTTACATCCCTTTTTTTATAAATAGAGAAGAACACAGGACAACCACAATAACTTATGGGGTCAAAAGTGTGCATTCGAACAAAGGGGAGGTTTTACAAATGTGGGGGAGGTGAGGACAAGGTGGTTGGTGTCAAAGAAACTGAAATGAACATAACAAAATATTGCCTGATCTATTATCTATTCTTAAAGTAAAACAACCAAAATGCCTAGCTAACTTATCTAAAGAAGCAACTCTCAAAATACACTGCTGACACCAACCAATAACATGGCAGCAGATCTGAGACCAAGTCAAAAAAAGGGCTGAACTCTGAGGGCTTGCTCCCTTTATTCTGGAGTTCTGGGTTGTGATAGGCTGATGAGGAATGGGGGGAACCAATGAGCTGAATCAATGCAGCAGCTACACAGGTGCCAGCCATTACCATCATCAGCAGCAGCAGCACCAGGCCCTTTGACCCCGCCTGACCTTGCTGCACGTAACACGGGCCATGAAAAACACAAGGTGAGTGTACCATCAGTATGGTCCATGAAATGTGGTTGTTCTAAATCCAGGTCTTCATGGCCCACAGCTCTGTAGATCACAGATATGTTCTCCTGCTGAATAAGGCAATTTTGCTGTATGTATTGTGTGGCTTGTGTACCTATTTTATCCACAGCATATAGGAGATGGATGCCTGTGATATTTCTTCTGTATCTACCAGCTCCCAGTGACTAAAATGCCCAATTTGGAAAGTACCTGTATGAGTGTTCAAAGAGGGTTCGTAGTGCTGGCTCCAAAAACGTATACAAGTTTATGAGGATTGCTTTTGGAAATCTAAAGCATTCATCTATTCATCTCTTTCCGCAAATAAATCCACATGGTTGTGAAAAATCCTTTCACTCCTGAAGCAGAAGCAAATAGGCCATTGTGTGAGCAGGCTAGCTACAGTCTTTGATTCTATAAATAGCATGATTAATCACTGTTTGTTTGATGGCATGGTTCCCAATTAACTCAGTTGATGTGAACTGAAGCATGTATTGTGCATTTATTTCAAAAGACTATAATGCTTTCTAAAATAATACAAATAATGATTAAATAAATAATAAAAATAAAAATAATATGAAAATAATATAAAAATAAATAATATGGAAATTTAAACTGGAACATTACCGATTGTCCACCCACTTCTTACTGTTAGAATATTGATAGTACATGAAGATGAACAATTTATCATTTCCCACCATGTTGCTTGGACACCAAAAGTACAGATGATGATTTGTACATCTTTGGCGGACGTTTGCCTGCTCTTTGGCTGTGTGTTAGAACTACAGCATAAGAGGGAGCAGCGGAATCAAAACATCCTGGTTGAAATCAATCGGTTATGGCAACAACTCTACAATAATCCAATAGTTATGGAAGAACACTACATTGACAGTGTATTAAATGAGCATGAATACACTGTGGAGAAACTACGGCGCAAGGAGCAGGAAGAGGCTGCCACTGCCGAAACTGAAGCTGCACCAGGCTGTGAGGATAGCCGCTGTGGAAAATGTGCACCAATGCCAACAAAAGAGGAGTTGCTGTGTTGCTTTTAACTACCAGCTTCAGCATTTGTAAAGATGAGTCAGGAGTGAGAGGAAGGCTTACCCTGGTTGTTGTTCGCTGCCAGAGAGGTAGTTCAGGAGAGCACAGGATTTAGTCCCAACCAGCTTGTGTTTGGTCATACTGTGTTGGCCATTTACATTACTGCATGACAAAGTGGTGTTCTCTGAACCACCCCTTAGACTGCTTGATTAGGTGCATGGTTTTCGGCATAGGTTGTATGTGGCTGGGGAAAAGGCTAGGGAA